CCGGATCCAGACCCGACGGTCCAGAACGCAGTCCGTCCGTTCTAGAAGGTCTGGAACGGACGGTCCGTTCAGTCAGACCGTCCGTTCTACGTGCTAGAACGGACGGTCCAAGTGCAATTCCGGACCGTCCGTTCCGAGTTTCGGATTTTTCGGAAATTAGACCGAATTAGGGTTAAATCACCTTATAAGAAGGAGATTAAAACCCTAATCGTTGAAGAGACTTACAGAGCTGTCTGGTGCAGACTTTTGGACAGCTTTTGGTGAGATCCAAAAGATCCAAGAGTTTCCAAGTCTCGTTTTCTCGAAGCATCATACCGAATAGTAGATTCGGGTCCTAGCAGACAAGTTCCAACCGTTGGAATCCATCCCGAGGTGTGGATACGTGTAGAGGGCGAGGTATTCTTCCTCCCTTTCATGATCAGACGAATTCTTCAATTGATACAGGGCCTAGATCGATTGAGGTAAGCGTTCTAACGTTTCTACGATTCATAGAAGCATGGTTCTAGGGTTTATTAAATTTTTGTTTTACATCCGCTGCGCAAACCCTAGAATCGATCTCTTAGGAATAGGATTCGCTCTAGAGATCTCAGGAAACCCAACATACAACTCAATGAAGAGAGAACCAAGTGGATGCTGGCGGTTCGAACAAGGATTCTGGAAACGGTGGCCAGAAAGAACCGACTACAGAAAAGAGAAAAAGATAAGCAAAGAAGAGAGAATTTATGGATGAATGTCTCAAGGGGATCTGATGGCCTTTTATAGTGTAAGACTCAAAATCTCCAAGGATCAATCACAACCGGAGATTGCTCCAATCAAGGGATCTAATTACAATCATTCCTAAATCGGATAAGACAAGATCCAATCAATCAAAGATACTTTCCTTATCTTGCCTTGGATGTATCTAGATCAAAAGATGGACCCGTTCAGATGGGTTGAGAAGGAAAGGGGGTTTGGCCAAGGGACTTGGGCTTGTTGGGAGGGAAGCCCGAATCGAGTCAACTCCTTAAGTCTAAAAGTGTTAGCGGTCCAAATCTGGGCTTTGGTCTAAGAAGGCGTGGTCCGAGATACACCAAGTGAGCCGGAGATAAGGTTGGCACTTCCATGGATAGTTCATCCGTTATCCCTGGTCCGAGCATGCTGGAATGGTCTAAAGGAAAGGTGCTCCGAGGTCTCCAGTCATGGTTTGTGCATGGTCTTGTGAGATTGGATCGAGGTCGGGGACAATGTCCGAGAGAATATGACCCGCCAATCAACCATGGAACGACATGCGAAAGGAATTTAGGGACGCAAAAAATTTCCCTTTTTCATCCTCACAAGACTGTTCTTATTTAAAATTTATAGAATTTATAATGAAACTATTTTTTTAATAAAAAGAGTGAGGACCTATGCCCCAATAACTAATAAGTTATATCATATATATATATATATATATAAAGATCTGTACATATTTTTTAATTTTTTTAATTATTTATTTTTTTATTATTATTTTTTAAATATTTTTTTACTTTTTTAATTAATTTTTAAATATTTTATTATTAATAACGTGACGTATCAATTTGATGTGGGTATGATTTGGTAAGTCTTTTAATACCACGTCAACATACATTATATAAAAAATATCTTTACTTTGCTATTTTTACTTCAACATATATCATTTTTTCAGCTGTGGCCATGTGACCCATGTAACTCAAAATATAGTGGGATCATATTTTGATTTTATTGATTATAACATTAAATTTATGGTAATCAGACTAATTCATTATATTCATTTCTTATATATCTTACTCTAATCATTTGATTGAAATATTATAAATTTAACGTTATGAACAATGAGATCAAAACGTGACCACACTATATTTTGAATCATATAGATCACATGGTCACAGTTGGAGAAGATATGTGTTGAAATCAAAATAGTAAAGTAAGGGTATTTTTGCATCAACATGTTATCATTGTCGTTACGGAATATGGATATATTAACTAATAAATTTAAAGTACGATAATTTAGGGTTCAAATAAAAATAGTTTAGAATTTATTTGCTTAGAAAAAAGTATAGAGTTTAATTATTGATTCGAAAAAAGTACATTATTATTATTATTATATTATTATTATTGTTATTTAGTGGAAATAACTATTTAAATATTTATATTTTGTAACAGAAATTGGTTCATCAGTCAACGTAAAACTTGTAACCGATGTCAATTACAATTCGTTTGAGAATATTTTTGGATGTGAAAGTATTATTTTTTATTTTTTATTTTACAATTTATTGATAATGAAACTCATTTATTATTCCAAAAAAAAATAGACAAAGAATCTAGATTCCATGACAGTTGTTACATAAATACTTGGTAAGGAGATCCTATAATGAAGAAAAAAATAATATCAGGTTTTTGGTTTTCAGTCCATATTTTTACAGTTTTTTAAAATCATATAATTGATTTTATATTATATTCTATTTTATGTTAGTTGCATATATTTCTATTTGGTTAGATTTTTATATTTTATTGATAAAAGTTTTTATTTTTTTAATAAATTTGATCGTTATTTCTTTTTTTTTTTTCAAATGACATAGAGTCATAGACTACGTTTTACCACAAAAGAAGAAGAGCAAAAACCTGAATGCGACATTATCCCAACATCCACTCTATAATTAAACACCACTGTGAAGTAAGATTCTCTGAATCCCTTCGGGGCTTACGGGATTAATTGGATCGAAAGCCCAATGAACTTTCTATTTATCAAAAGAGGAACCCATATTATCGAAACGGAGCGTTTTAAAAAATTAGGGTTATTAATATCTCGACATTTCTCATTTCGACGCATGTGGTTTGAGGAAGAAGGTTCGAGAGGGAGAATGCGAGAGAGAAAGAGAGATCGCGAAGGAAGAGGAGTTTTTCGGTGACGACGAAGTTCGGATCGACGGCAAAGGTGAGTCGAGGTAAATATCAGGGTCTCATATATCTTTTCGATTGTTTCTCGAACTGGAGTACCGCCTCGTGCTTAATTCTAGTGATTCTTTTTCCCATTTTCTAGTGGATTGTCGGTGATCCGACAGAGACGTAAGTCTTTCGGATACTGAACTCGTAAAATCCCGATGTTTTATCTTATTTTTTTCTCGTCGGAGTATCGGAGTGACACGTTATAGCATAAAAAAAAGATTTCAATTCAAATGTAGCAAAATCCATTAAATTAATCACCCATAATATATTCGTTTTATTAGTTGAATTACATTTAAATTCGGCTCAATTCTATTTATATGAATACGATAAAAGGATTGAGGCATCATTTTCATTTTATGTCGATGCACAAATCTAACGTGGTTTTGGATATAGATAAATGTCCTTGGTAAGTATAATTATAAATCATAAAATATTTTGGACAAAGGATATGTGATTAACGAGGAAAGACAATGCAAATTAGGTAAAAAATCTAAAAGATATTCATCCTAATAAAATATATAAACATATTAAGAGATAAAATCTAAAATAAATGGAAAGTATTTTACTAGATTAAGAATATTAAAACAAATAAGATAGAATATAGTCAAAGATGGTTTTTCAAATTTTCATTTTTGCTAAAATTCTTTTTAAACTGGGAAAAAAATAATATTTTGTCTATGGTTTGAATTTAAAAATACGCTCGTCCTTGCATATCGTTTCAAAACCCGCCCATGTACGTCTCCTCTAAGTCCTCTCCCTCTTATTTTCCCCCTGTATAAATCTCTCCCTCCCTCCCTCCCTCTCTCTCTCTCTCTCTCTCTCTCTCTCTCTCTCTCTCTGTGTTTTGTCGGAGAATGGCGCGTGACATCCAACTTCCATGCAACGGAGACGGCGGGTGCATGCGCTGTATGGCGAAGCCTCCGTCGGAGGAGATCCTCAAATGCAGCACGTGCGTGGCGTCATGGCACGTGACCTGCCTCTCCCCTGCTCCCGAAACCCTTGCCTCCCCTATGCTGTGGCAGTGCCCCGATTGCTCCGGCGATGCCGATCCCGTCCCCGCCGCCGGATTATCCGGCGCTGACGGTGGCCTCGTGGCGGGGATCCGCGCGATCGAGGCAGACGAGTCATTGACTGAGATGGAGAAGGCTAAGAAGAGACAAGAGCTGATGGGCGGGAAAGTCGCCGTAGATGATGGAGTTGAAGGCGATGATGACGAGGGGAGCAAGATGGAAGGGGATGATGCGGAGATGGAGATCGATCTTATCGCTGCTCTGGGCGAGAATTTGAACTGCTCTTTCTGCATTCAGCTCCCTGATAGGCCCGTCACGGTTCGTTTTCCATCTCTCTGGCTCTCGTTTTCTTCATAATTTCACATGGGCTCTATGATCGTTCGTCGACGGAGTGATCCATGTGTAGTAAATCCAGTGTGTTTTGTCTCGTAGATTCCGAGAATATCTGTTCCTTTTATGGCTATTGTGAGAGTATCTGTCCTGCCATGTGTTCTTTGCGTTTGTTATTGATTCCCTAATTGAGTAATTGTGTTACGGTACTGCTTCCGTCTCTGAATTCACTAAACTGAGAATGTAAAGTTCTACAATTAAGCTGTGATATTCCACATCCAGCAATAGTTATTATAGATAAGCATGCATTTATCTCTGTTTACCATTTGTGGCAATTGCCTCTGTCAATGAATGCCCGTAAACGCCATTATGATTGTTCTTGTTTGTTTTGTTGGAGGTATGATCATCTTAATGATCACCCATTTCACGTGGCAATGAGAACACATGCATGTTTTGTTGTATGATCCTTTGACATGTATACTTGTTTGTATGGAATTCGGTTTCTCTTTCTGCTGTAAGTTATCTTTTTTCTGGATTGTTTGATTGATGTGTTTTGTACAAAGTTGGTGTTCTTATCGACCCTTGCATTGCATTGCTTCTGGAGTCTGGAAAAGATTGTCTTGTGTCCTGTTTTTGTTCCGTCTAAATCATTTTTCGAATGCAAGTGGATAGAAGCAGCAAGAATAACATTGAGCGATTTTTCCGGAGCTGATGGTGGTCTGGTTTGTGACTTTTCAGACACCATGTGGGCACAACTTTTGCTTGAAATGTTTCCAGAAATGGATTCAGAAAGGGAAGCGTACTTGTGCAAAATGTCGTGCCCGAATTCCACAAAAGATGGCAAGCAACCCACGCATTAATGCCGCTCTTGTTTCTGCTATCCGTCTGGCAAAAACACCCAGAACCTCCGCTGTTGGTTCTGCGAGGGTCTACCATTATATTCGCAATGAAGACCGCCCAGATACAGCATTTACCACCGAGCGAGCAAAGAAGGCTGGGAATGCCAATGCTGCTGGTGGTAAAATATTCGTGACAGTGGCACCCGATCATTTAGGTCCTATACCTGCTGAAAACGATCCTGTAAGAAATCAAGGTGTTCTAGTCGGAGAATCATGGAAAAACAGACATGACTTAAGGCAGTGGGGGGTTCACTTCCCACAAGTTGCTGGCATTGCTGGACAATCAAAATATGGAGCTCAATCAGTTGTTCTTTCTGGAGGATATGAGGATGACGAGGACCACGGAGAATGGTTCCTCTACACAGGAAGGTATGCATTGCACGACTTCTAGCTGACCATGCCTTTCCTCCATGTATAAGTGCATGCTCATTTCTTTAAAAATCTTGTGCTTTATTATGCGGTTGACTGACTGCTTCTGGAGCGATCCTTACAGTATGGGTGTGAAATACCTGCTCCCTCCCTCTCCTTTACATTGTATATATGTACTTGTACATTTTTTTACACCTTTTGCATCGATATTTTTGCAGCGGAGGCCGGGACCTTAGTGGCAACAAAAGGACTAACAAGGAACATTCTTTTGATCAGAAGTTTTGCTGGGTGAACGAAGCTCTTAGACTCAGTTGCAAAATGGGTTATCCTGTTCGAGTTGTCAGGTGAGCTGTTTTTCAGCAAAATTCTAATGTACAACATCATTCTTCAGAAATGAACTTCCCTACGCTAATATTGAACCTAAGAGGTGAATTAAGGTACTCTGCCTTCTGCCCAAAATGCTATCTCGATGGAGTTGGGTCGAGCTTTTGCCTTTAAAGAATGTTTTAACTTGCTGCCCCTAGTCTATAATCCATACAGACAGTTCTTGTGGATAGATTTTCTTGTATATTCAGTTGCCTCGAATTCTATAGTTTGATCCTGATAGTTTTATCAACCCAAACACTTAGACAACAAACACATGATTTTCTTACAAACTTTTCTGCATTAAACCACCACAGCATTTACTACATGCATAGCATTTACAGCACATAAACACACTTTAATACTTATATAAATAACACATACACATTCTACTCGATTTCTCTAGAATAGGATTACAGAAATCCCCTCTCTGCAATAAATATTCTAGAGACATCAATGCTCTTTTTATACATAACCTAAAGTAACGGACAAGTAGTTACTAAAGACAAAACAAAAGAAAACTGCAATAATAACTATGATTCCAAAAACTGCTCCTTCAACTTCTCCACTTTGTTTTCTGCAATGGTTCCTTCTTCAGTTTCTACAAATCTTCAACTTCATTTTTTCCTTGAGTTTTGAGTCACAAAAACCCAACTCTCCTCAGTTGACTCAAAAACTCAAACATTATTCAACAAACTAAAAAAATTCCATTTACCCGAGTGCAAAAGTGCCCCTTCTCGAGTTTCACCATTGTCTTCCTCGTGTGCATATCTGTCCCTTTTCGAGTACACGACATTTTTTCGGTTTTGTCTGAACAACCAAAACCATTCCACGACCTGTATGTTCCTCGATCCATCTTCGGTATGAATCTTCACATTCATAGATCCTTAAAAACAAAACGCTTCTTCTTCAAACATTCCATAGATCCCGAAAGACCATTCTCGCTCTGATACCATGATAGTTTTATCAAACCAAACACTTAGACCATTCTCGATTTTCTCTCGAATAGGATTACTGAAATCCTCTCTTTGCAATAAATATTCTAGAGACATCAATGCTCTTTTATAAAGGGGTAACCCCGTGCGCCAAGGCTCCCCTTCAATGCTCTTTTTATACATAACCTAAAGTTGGCTCCCCTTCAATGCTCTTTTTATACATAACCTAAAGTAACGGACAATTAGTTACTAAAGACAAAACAAAACTGCAATAACATCTATAATTCTAAAAACTGTTCCTTCTTCAACTTCTCCACTTTATTTTCCGCAACGGTCCCTTCTTCAATTTCTACAAATCGCCGACTTCGTTTTATTCTCGAGTTTTGAGTCACAAAAACCCAACACTCCTCGTTGTCTCCAAAACTCAAACATAAAACATTCAACAGACTTAAAAATTTCCATTTACCCCTGTGCAAAAGTATCTTTTCTCGAGTTCACAATTGTCTTCCTCGAGTACATATCTGCTCCTTCTTGAGTACTCGACCTTTTTCCGGGTTTGTCTGAACGACCAAAACCCTTCCACGACCTGTATGCTCCTCGATCCATCTTCATTATGAATCGTCACACTTACAGATCCTTTAAAACAAAACGCTTCTTCTTCATACTCTTCCATAGATCTCGAAAGACCATTCTTGCTCTGTGATAGTTTTATCAAACCAAACACTTAGACACCAAACAAAAGTTTTCTTGCAAACTTTTCTGCATTAAACCACCACAACATGTACTATACGCATAACAATTACAACGCATATACACACTTTAATACTTATATAAATTACACACACATAATACATACACATTCTACTCGATTTTCTCTCGAATAGGATTATTGAAATCCTCTCTCTGTAATAAATATGCTAGAGACATCAATACTCTTTTTATAGAAGGACAGCCCAGTGCATAAAGTATCTCCGTTGAGCGGGGGTCTGGAGAAATGTTTCACAACAAGGGCGTATTGTAGGCAAACATTGCCTTGCAGATTATTTCTGCAAGAGGCTGCTTCTAGGAATCGAAATCGTATCCTCTCAGTCACAACGACAACACCTTAACTGTTGGGCGGAAGCTCCTTTTCAATGCTCTTTTTGTACATAACCTAAAGTAACGGACAAGCAGTTACTAAAGACAACAAAACTGCAATAATAACTATAATTCCAAATACGACTCCTACTTCAATTTCTCCACTTTATTTTTTGCAACGATTCCTTCTTCAATTTTTATAGATCTTCAACTTCATTTTTTCCTTGAGTTTTGAATCACAAAAACCCAACACTCCTCGTCGACTCAAAAACTCAAACTTAAAACATTCAACAAACTTAAAAATTTCCATTTACCCTTGTACAAAAGTGTCTCTTTTCGAGTTTCACAATTGTCTTCCTCGAGTGCATATCTGGTCCTTCTCGAGTACGCGGCCTTTTTCCGGGTTTGTCTGAACGACCAAAGCCCTTCCATGGCCTGTATGCTCCTCGATCCATCTTCATTATGAATCTTCACACTTACAGATCCTTTAAAACAAAACGCTTCTTCTTCATACTCTTCCATAGATCTCGAAAGACTATCCTCGCTCTGATACCATGATAGTTTTATCAAACCAAACACAGAGACAACAAACAAACGTTTTCTTACGAACTCTTCTGCATTAAACCACCACAACATTTACTACATGCATAACAATTACAACGCATAAACATTCTACTCGATTTTCTCTCGAATAGGAATATTGAAATCCTCTCGCTGCAATAAATATTCTAGAGACATCAATGCTCTTTTTATAAAAGGGCAACCCAGTGCATAAAGCATCCCAGTTGAGCAGAGGTCTGGAGAAATGTTACAGCACAAGAGTGTATTGTAGGCAAACCTTTCGTTGCAGAATATTTCTGCAAGAGGCTGTTACTAGGAATCGAAACCGTGTCCTCTCGGTCACAACGACAACACCTTAAACGGTGCTCCAAGGCTCCTTTTCAATGCTCTTTTGTACATAACCTAAAGTAACGGACAAGTAGTTACTAAAGACAAAACAAAACTGCAATAATAACTATAATTCCAAAAACTGCTCCTTCTTCAACTTCAGTTTATTTTTTTGCAACGGTTCCTTCTTCAATTTTTATAGATCTTGAACTTCCTTTTTTCCTTGAGTTTTGAGTCACAAAAACCCAACACTCCTCGTTGACTCGAAAACTCAAACATAAAACATTCAAAAAAATAAAAAATAATTCCATATACCCTAGTGCAAAAGTGCCCCTTCTCGAGTTTCTCAATTGCCTTCCTCGAGTGCATATCTGCCCTTTCTTGAGTACATGACCTTTTTCTGGGTTTGTCTGAATGACCAAAACCCTTCCATGACCTGTATGCTCCTCGATCCATCTTCGGTATGAATCTTCACACTCACATATCCTTAAAAACAAATCGCTTCTTCAAACTCTTCCATAGATCCCGAAAGACTATTCTCTCTCTGATACCATGATAGTTTTATCAAACCAAACACTTAGAAAAAACACACGTTTTCTTGCAAACTTTACTGCATTAAACCACCACAACATTTACTACACGCATAGCATTTACAACACATAAACAGACTTTAATACTTATATAAATTACACACACATAATACATACACATCCTACTAGATTTTCTCTTATAGGATTACAGAAATCCTCTCTCTGCAATAAATATTCTTCAGACATCAATGTTCTTTTTATACATAACCTTAAGTATCGAACAAGTAGTTACTAAAGACAAAACAAAAGAAAACTGCAATGATAACTATGATTCTTAAAACTGCTCTTTCTTCAACTTCTCCACTTTATTTTCTGCAACGGCTCCTTCTTCAATATCTACAGATCTTCAATTTCATTTTTTCCTTGAGTTTTGAGTCACAAGAACCCAACAGATCCTTTCTATACCGATAGACATGAGCTTTAAAGTGAAGAGGTTAACTCTGAATTTGTGAATTCCTTTCTTGATTCCTTTTCTTGAAAATAAGCAGGTCTCACAAAGAGGAGCGCACTGCCTATGCCCCTGAGGCAGGGATTAGATATGATGGGGTTTATAGGATTGAGAAGTGTTGGAGAAAAGCTGCTAGACGGGTAATATATCTAATGGTTCAAATTATTTCACCACTTAAAGTTTTGCGGTATTAGAGTTTTTGCTGATGTACTTTTTGTATAGGGTTTTAAGGTCTGCCGTTATCTCTTTGTTAGATGTGACAATGAGCCTGCTCCATGGACCAGGTTTGCATTAGTATGTTTGATTGAAGTACCATCCTTTTCCTTGTTTTGAGATCAAACTTTGTTAAAAAGTGTGACAATTGTACTACAGTGATGAGCACGGTGATCGCCCAAGACCTCTGCCTAAGATTCGTGAGCTTAAGAAAGCCATTAATCTATTTGAGAGAACGGACAGCCCATCGTGGGATTTTGATGTAAGATGCTGCCTTTTATTTATTTGCTAATATCTTTTCTTACATTGGAACCATATATCAATGACACGAAGAGAAGGTGGATATACTAGTTGTATAATACTACTAATAAGATCTCGTTTGATTCAGAATATCTGGACATTTGTCATAGCATAATAGTAGAAACTTAGTTCATCTTTTCTAAACTAGTTTGTGAATGGACTTGAAGTTTATCTGAATTCTAGATTTGAAATTTTCCACTGCACTTCTCTTAATGTGTAAATCGATTAGGAAGCTGATGGTCGTTGGAAGTGGGTGAAGCCTCCACCTGCTAGTAGAATGGTGTTTGATGCAACGGGTCGTGAGGAGAGGAAGAGGGCAAAAAAGGCTAACAGTGTGAAGGACAGGCTTCTGAAAGGTAGTCTTTTCAATTGCATCTCCTTTTGTTTATTTTTTCATAATGGTCATCATCAGGTGCATAAATTACTAACTGCACATCAGCTCTTGATGCATCGATCATCACAAAATTTGTATGAGCGTGATCTGCACTAGGGATAAGTTCTTCTGTATGTTATAAATTTAATAGGAAGTCGGTGCTTTCTTATTGGAGTTTGATTTAATAAGATATCTGAAGAATCAATGGGTTTGTTGAGACAGAATTCAGCTGCCAAATCTGCCGCCAAACAATGAATCTTCCGGTGACAACCCCCTGTGCTCATAACTTCTGCAAGGAATGCTTAGAGGCCAAATTTTCTGGGATGACTCTCATGAGGGAAAGAAACAAAGGCGGACGCACACTTCGTACGCAGAAGAACATCATGAACTGCCCTTGTTGCTCCACTGATATCTCCGATTTTCTCCAAAATCCTCAGGTAAGGAAATGCCTTTTGAGCATTTTGCCTCCTCATCTTTCACCCATTTTTCAGCCTCAGTCCTTACCGTTTTGGTCTCTGGTTTAGAATAAACTGTAAAACCCATCAATAATATTCAAGTGAAAAACATCAATGCCAGCACCTTAACTTTCGATTTCGCCTTTTATAAACCAGTTGTTGGGCTCTTCTTTTAACAGGTAAACAGAGACGTAATGGAAGTGATCGAGGCGCTGAAGACGAAGATCAAGGCCACTGAGAATGCAGAGGGGAAGGAGGAAAGTGGTGGGTCGGGGTCTGACAATGGTGAAGCTCTTACTGAAACTGAGTCAGAACCGCCGAGTAAGCGTATCAGACTCGACACTGAAACCGCTTGAGAGATATGCCTTATAGGATCGAACCATCCATGTAAAAAAAATGACAGCAGAAACACAAACCATTCTGCGAAGTCCCTGGACAAAACACAAAGTAAGGATGTTAAGTTTCTTGTTCCGTTTTTTTTTTCCTTTTTTCAAATGCCTGTTTTAGACCTTTCCTGAATAAGTTTAAAGGGCCGGTTTTATCTGGTTTAGATTGCAATTGTTGGTTTTCTATTATGGAACAGTGGACCGGTTTTGTATAAACCGGTTCTTTTATTTGGTTGAATCTCAGTATGCTATCAGAATATTTAACAGCTTTGCTGAATCAGGAAACCGGCTCATACCTTTTTCTTTTTCCTTTTTACTTGGAATCTCAATGCTCTTTCTCATTAGCCAAACACAACACAGCCATTTCAAAGACCATAACTTTTGGTACATCATTTGCAGTACAATACACGCATGATACGGTATATGCAATATCTGTACTTAAACACACGCACATTGATATTTTTGTTTTATATTGGTCACATTGATATTGAAAAGGGTTAGTGAATGGTTTTTGTTAGGAACGTATAAAATACGGCATATCGACGTAAACCGGCCGTATTTAGGAATTGTCAACAACAACAATAAGTGGGGTCCTGCAGTGAAGGTTGGGTCTGACTTTGACTATGTAATGCCAAATAAAACCAAAATGTGGGGATGATAAATACTTCGGTATTATCTGCAATCACCGTATCGATCTAAATAAAAAAATAATAATAATGCACGTACAGATGTACATGTATATGTGTAATAATATCGCCTTTTTTCAAATTAAGAGAGATCCTGAACTATTGGAGCTGCTGAGTTTGGTCTCCTTGTCTGAACTGGGAACACATGGAGTTTCTGATGTTGCTTCTCTGCAGTTTTCTCCCGATGATCAATCTTGTTCATGCCCAATCAGCTCAAGGTTTTATCTTTTTTCTTTAAAAAAAAAAGATTTTTCTTATTTAGAATCTCTTTTTTCCGGTTATATAAATGTAACTATTGTGAGGAACAGGATTCGTGAGCTTGGCTTGTGGAATGACACCAGAAGACTTCACCCTCCTGGATAAACAAACACAATTAACGTACACTTCAGATGCTCGTTTCATCAATACCGGAGAAAGCGGTAGGATTCGTAAAGAGTACGAGTCCTCGGTCGTAAGACAGGCATGGTACGTGCGGAGTTTTCCCGTCGGGACACGAAACTGTTACAGCCTTAATGCCACCGAAGGCTCGAAATATCTGGTAAGAGCTTACTTTGTCTACGGAAACTACGATGGCAAAAACATGAATCCGATATTCGATCTGTATATCGGACCGAACAAGGTTTTTACGGTCGGAGCACAAAGCGATAGCATATCCTTAGAGTTCATTCATGTCCCGACATCAAACAGTTTGCAAATATGCCTTGTAAGACTTGGAACTACGGTACCTTTCATATCGACATTAGAACTACGTCCTGTCAACAACCATATGATTTATAATGTCGAGAATCGAAACGAGTCTCTCGTGTTGAGCTACCGAAGCTTTGTAGACAACGGAGTTACCGAGTACATACGGTAAGTACTATATATATACTTATATATATATATGTGTGTGTTTAGGATTATGTAACTTTATACATTAGTTTCAGGTTCCCTGATGATATTCACGATCGTTTTTGGCGGCCGACCTTTACGTTTGACTGGAATCATTTGACCACTGCCCGTGAAGTTAACACTTCTAGCATGTATGAACCACCAAAACCCGCGATGCAGATGGCAGCCGTGCCCGAGAATTCGACTTCTCCTTTCACTCTACAGGTTCCTTCTAACGGTTTGGCTTCCAGATTGCGTTTCTACCTCCATTTTGCTGAGATCGAAGAGCTAAAACCCAACGAGACTCGTGAATTTGATATAATGTTGAATGGAATCCATTATTATGGACCCGTTAGGCCGAAACCATTTTACGCCGAAACTGTAGAGGTAATGACTTCAACTGAAGGATGCAATCAAGGCTCTTGCTTGCTGCAACTCGTGAGGACATCTGCCTCTACTCATCCGCCCATTCTCAACGCTATCGAGCTCTACTTTGTTTTAAAGTTCCTACAACCGGAAACAGATCGGACCGACGGTATAACACTTTTGGACTTTTGTCTATCGACATTGGAAAATGTGGTGAATGAAAACATTTTTTCTTTCTCATTATTCTGTCTGTGCAGTTGAAACTATGATAAGAATAAAGGAAGAATATGGATTGAACATAACAAGTTGGGAAGGAGATCCATGCTCACCAACTGAACTCACATGGGACGGTCTGAATTGCACTTCGGACGACCCTTTATCCATCTCTTCCTTGTACGTTTTCATCTCTCTAATATGATATGATGATGATATAATACACATGGACCCATGTCTGTATACCATTTGCGATGATAATATGTTTGCATGTTTTTTCTGTAAGGAACTTATCTTCATGTGGCCTTACGGGTATTATCTCGCCATGGATTCAGAATCTTACCCACTTGATATCATTGTGAGTTCTTCTTCCTCTTCCTCTTCTTATCACACATTTTACTTGAAGACCAATATTCAAGTTTTAATCTTTGATTACGAGATGCAAGGGACTTGTCAAACAACAATCTGACAGGTCGAGTACCCGAGTTTCTAGCTACAATGAGATCATTATCGGTCATGTAAGCTCGTTGCATTTGATCAAAACAATATGAAAATAAAACCGATGTGCTCTCTCTTCTCTCTTATTTGTTTCTCTGCTAATGCAGTATACGACTGACTTACCAATTCTAGTTTTGTCTTTACAGAAACTTAAGGAACAACATTCTTAATGGTCCAGTTCCTGATTCCCTCCTCAACAGGGCAAACAATGGATCATTACAACTATAGTTAATATCTTTCATTGCATATAACTACAACTTATGAATTATGTAATTTATATTTGTCTGAAGGGTCCTTAACTGTTGAAGTTTTTTTTCTTTGTTGATTTCCAGCCTCGAAGAGAACCCAAATCTTCATTGTCCCTCAGACGCTTGCAAGAACCAAGATACTCATCAGAATAAGGCCAAGTCAAACCACGCATTTGTTCTACCGACGATATTGGGATCGATTGCTTCCTTCTTTGCAATCATATCCGCTTTCTCAGTATTTCTCCTTCTCCGTGAGAGATCGAGGAGAGGGAAAGGTAACGTTCTCATGAGACTCAAATGAGTTCTTGAAGAACTTTTTTCCCCATCCATACAAATATGTGTACTTAATTATGCCGACATGTTATTAACAGTAGGAACAAACAAAAATTCACCTGGGGTCGGACGGAGATTCAGTTATTCAGATATTATAAGGATGACAAACCATTTTGACAAAGTGCTCGGCAGAGGAGGCTTCGGTATCGTGTATCATGGTTACCTAAACGAACACGAGCAAGTTGCCGTGAAAATTCTTTCTGAACCATCGACTCGAGGTCTCAAGCAATTCAGGGCAGAGGTATTTGCTTCGTAACCTTTATACGCTTATACATATAAATATCGCATAAAATTGAAGGTAAGCAACACAATTGACTCCTCTTATAGGTCGAGCTTCTTCTAAGAGTTCACCACAAGAATCTTGTACACTTGATCGGATATTGCGACGAAATGGATAACTCCGCTCTCATCTACGAGTACATGTCCAGAGGAGATTTGAAAAATCAGTTGTCGGGTAATAGCACATCGAAGTGATTGACCATCTAGACGTTATTATTACTTCAATGCAATCTTGATGATCATGTAATGTATTTGAGTACAGGAAACACATGTTCAGAGTTATTGAGCTTGAAAAATAGAGTAAGAATAGTGGCCGAAGCCGGGCAAGGTATGATTTTCTATTCATACACATTTGTGAAAACTGGACAAAACACATCATAACGAACAAACGAATGAATACAGGTTTGGAGTATTTGCACAATGGATGTAAACCACCGATGGTTCACAGAGACATAAAGACTTCGAACATTCTCTTAGACGAAAACCTTTTGGCAAAAGTTGCTGATTTCGGTCTCTCCAAATCTTTTGACCATGAAAGCAATAGCCATACCTCGACGGCTGTTGTCGGCACACATGGATACCTCGATCCCGAGTTAGTATATACTCGTTTTACATACATTCTGTGTTGAGACATATCTCCAATAGTTACATAGTAATGAATTTGTATTGCGGATTATATAGGTATCGTCAGACCGGTTGGTTAACAGAGAAGAGTGATGTGTATAGTTTCGGGGTTGTTGTTTTGGAGATACTCACAAGCCAGCCTGTTATTGAGGACACGAGGGAGGGTAACCATATCACGGAATGGGTCCAGAACATGCTCGTGAAAGGCGACGTTAGAGAAATCGTGGATCCGAGGTTGGGAAGAGATATTAGCGCTGCTTCAGTTTGGAGAGTAATCGAAATGGCAATGGCTTGTGTGAACCCTTCACCGAGGCAAAGACCGAACATGGGACAGGTCGTAGCCCAACTCAAGGAGTGTTTAGCCTCCGAACACAACAATGGTTCTATCGATGTGAGTTTGGTTTTGTCAGATGAGTTCACTCCCATCGCGAGATAGTGTTGGATGTAGAGAGGGTATATGTGTAGTCTTATATAATTATATTAGGTCAAATACACTTGTATAAATATGCCAATGATGTTTTTTTGGATAAAAGGCTGTTTTTTATATATTAAAAAAAGTTTACAAGTGGCCACATAGTGCGGAGTACAAGTAGTAGTTGACAATTAATGGAATGGAAATGAATGTCAGACTCTAAGCAATTCGACAACATCGACGCTAGGAGAACCAGAGTTGAATGCTGGTGCTAGCAAGTTCTGGCCTTTGCGGCCGTAATGAAGCAATTCGCAGTCGGAAAGTACTGTCGACAACCTTCTTGATCGCCGTTGTGTCGGAGTACAAATGCTGATGAAGCCTGATATTCCTTTCCTTCCAAATTGAGTATGACACAATCTGCCATTTAATACTAGCAATGTCCACCTTCTGATTTTACATCCTTGCAACCTTCGAAGCTCATCAAGTAGGTGTGCCCAGCACATTGATACAGGGGAGAAGCCTATCTTCGACATCGCCCAGGATAGGATTTCCGCGGAGAACGGACAAGTGAAGAAAAATGGTCTCGATTTTCTGGCAACAAGTTGCAGAGGGCGCATAGTGGATCCGTTTGAATGCCCCAAGCAAGCATGCGGTCCTTGGTCGGGCACCTGTCCAGATCAATGAACCAACACATGAAAGCATGCTTAGGTAAGTGAAACTTGAACCAAATCTGTGATGATCTGATTGTTGTATTTTGGTCGATGAGTGTCTTCCAGATATCCGTAGCTCTGAATGATCCAGTAACTTTGCCACAAATAACCAATTCGTGGTGTCTGGAGAGATAGAGATGCTGAGGGTGAGTAGGAAGGAAGTCAGGAGGCAGGCTGTCTCTGATCTAGGTCTTGCTATGGTCCATCTTCCGTCAACTTGAGCTTCTGCCACTAGAGCATTCCGGTGAATTGCGAGCCGTGTTGGGCCTGTGGGACCAAATATGTCAATGATGTTCCCAACGGAGTCCATGGGTCGTCCCAAAATCGGATGGATTCTCCACTCCCCACTGTGATGCGTACAAATGTTTTTGCCCAGTGTCGAAGCTTGAGAAGTTTCCGGAATGTCCAGGTTTGTGCCGAAGAAGGCTTGACCGACCAGAACATGTGTCGACTTAGATATTTATTGCATATCCATGCTACCCATAAGGATCCTGCACAAAAGAGAATCATCCAGATCAGTTTCAGTGCAGCAATGTCATTCCAGACCTGTAGATTCCGCAATCCAAGCCCTCCTTGAGGTTTCGGCTTGGTGACTTTTTTCCATGAAACCCGGCCTCCTTTGGTTGGTGTGGATGTTCCCTTCCAAAGGAAGATAGAACACATAGAGTTTATCAGCGTTATACATTTCTTTGGAAGAACAAAGACTCCTAACCAATAGGGGATGATGCCGGAGATGATAGATCGTAGTAATTGCAGTCTCCCAGCGAAAGAAAGACTCTTTACTGCCCACGATTCCATTCTACTATTGATCTTGGAAATAAGGGGCTGGCAGTCTCCCATGGAAAGTTTTCGTGAGAGCTTAGTGGAACGCCAAGGTATCGAAAAGGCAATGTGCTGATGTAATGCGAAATAGTGAGCACATTTCAGCCATATATGCTTGCGTGCAGCCGCCAAAATACAGGCTGGACTTGTCTTTGTTTATGTTTAGCCCTGACAGCGAACTGAACAAGCTAAGCACTTGAAAGACAAAGTCGAAAGACTGTCGGTTACCATCAGTGAAGATAAATAAGTCGTCAGCAAAAGCTAGATCAGTAATTCCCAAGGGTGCACAACCTGGATGAAACCCGATGGAGCCTTCCCTTGCAGACCTCTGAAGCAATGTGGACAGTATATTCAAACCCAAGAGGAAGAGATACGGGGAAAGGGGACAACCCTGACGGAGCCCCCTAGTTCCCGTAAAGAATCCGTGGAGTCCTCCATTAAGACTGACAGAGAAATATGGTCCCGTGATGCAAGCTTGGATAGCAGAAACCAGATTTTCCGGTAGTCCCAGCAGTCTAAGAACCCGAAGGATATAATCTCATCTCAATGAATCAAAGGCCTTAGCTATATCAATCTTTAAGGTCACTCTACTAGAGATGTTCGGCTTGTGGTAGCCACGTACAATCTCTATTGCTAGGAGACAGTTTTCAGCAATCGATCGACCCTGTACAAACGCAGATTGGCTGGACAATTTAACAGCTTTGACTAGAGGCTTGAGCCGATTAGTTAGAATCTTGGCAATGATCTTGTATATCGTGTTGCAACACGATATTGGACGAAAGTCTTTGAGTCATTCTGCCTCTGGGAGTTTCGGAACAAGGACAATGGCTGTAGAGTTAATGGCTTTTGGCAGGATACCAGTTCTGAAAAACTGTAGAATTGACTGAGTTAGTTCTTCGCCAATGATGCTCCAAGATTTCTTGTAGAACTCAGCAGTAAACCCATCTGGACCAGGCGTTTTGTTTGCCGGCATTGAAAATAGAACAGACTTGATCTCCTCTACAGTGACAATAGAAGAGGCTTCTCTGATCACTTGGTAATATGCAATGATGTTAATAAAAATTAAGCCATTTTTAAAATTGATATATTGTATCAGAGCCTCAAAAACCTTAAGGTTATTCTTGATCCTGATTCTCTTGCTTTTCCACCACCGGCATCATCACCATGTTCTCCGATGGAGCTTCAGCTTCTTGCACTATCGAAATTGTTGCCACCTTCGATTCGACAACACTGCAACAATCATTGATCTTTGTCACCATATCAAATATTACCAAGCTTTCGAATACAAATTATATTACATGGAGCATTCAAGTACGTACTCTTCTCGAGGCTCATAATCTCGTGTGTTTCATTGATGAAACCACCACTGCTCCATCTGCCAAGCTCCTTGCCGATGGATCTAGCATGGATGATCGTGCCAATCTAGGTGAATGGATGATCAAGTAATAAATACCTAGACTAAACTGATTCCGCAAGGGTACATAATTGATATAGTACTAGGGTCGAACATAAGGACCGAGAGGTGATGGTGTCGATGGTGATTCTACCGAAGGTCAAAAGCAAATTGATTGGTTGGTTGGTCGGAAAAACTATAATTAAAGACACTGTAGGTTTGGGGGTTCACCGATGCTATGGATGGTTTCTAAAGATCTAGATTGAATTGCAACTTTGATAGATACGGGAAACTCTAGCTTCTAAACTAGAACAAGTCCGGGTTAGAGATCATCGCTCTCTAACTAACGCTTTCCTATAAGCTTACGCATCTTTAAGTCTACGTTAGAAATATTAATGTTCGCTATCATTGTTCCTAGGTCGAATTAAAAATTCCTTATCAAGTCCCACCTATGTGTTCAGAATTAATAATTGGACCTATCTTATAAACGAATTTCGGTATTAATTAATCCAAATTCCTTTGCAATTAACTAACCTAAGTTCAATTCTATAGGGTGATCAATCCTAAGAAAAACATTATGTTCAATTCATAAAACTGAACCCAAACAAAACATGCAATAATCATATTAAGAACATGAACCAATCTATAACATGGCTAGGATTCGTAGCCTATAACAAGTAAACTACTCATGATCCATAGGAGAAAATGAAACTACAACAGATTCATACAACATTTCAAGAGACATAGAGAAAGTAGACTTATAGAACGTAGAATCAATCTCTAAACTCCGAAATGTAGCAATTCTCGAGCTCCAAAAACTCCCAAAACATCGCGGGAACGTAGAAAAATCAGAAAGTATCGTGAAACGTGAAGTGCGCGAACCTCTTCTCGGTTTTTGTACGGTCGCTTTTATAGAAATCTCGAAATATCGATGTTGGGAACATCGATATCAATGTTGTCTAACATCGATATTCTTCCCAAGTGTGGAGATCTCGATGTCTAGGAACGTCGATATCAACGTTGTGGAAGGTTGATATCTGGACTACTAAGATCTTGAGGTAGGCAAACATCGATGTCGATGTTGTGGAACATCTAGGTCGGAAAATCTGAAAATCTGATCTCGAGGTGGCTGGAACGTCGATATCAATGTTGAGGAATGTCAATATCGATGTTATATAACGTCGATATCAATGTTCTCAACATCGAGATTCTTCATGTTCCGCTCCGAAGTCCATTTCTCGTCCGTGGTAAGTCTGTGGCCTTCCTTGGTTCGTTTGTGATTGTCCACTTGGTCCAATTAAACTCCGAAAATACCATTTTAGCTCCATTTTCGTCCAATTACGTGAATATTCCTGAAATTGCACCAAAGAGCAAAGAAAACAGTATTTGTGTATAAAATGCAGCCTAAATGCTAAATTTGTACGAAAAAGAGAGGTGAAATGCAATTAAAACCATAGGAAAATAACGTCAAAAACCGATGTCATCAACTCCCCCAGACTTAGACTTTTGATCATCCTCGAGTAAAACTCTAAGAAAAACAGTCTAAAAAGAGAGAAGGAGAACGAATAGTCGATTCCATATGAATGTCAAAAGTGAGATTCTTGTCTAGTCGTAGCTACCCCTGAACGGAATCAAGCTTATTCTACTATGGTCTTTCGTCCTTCGGAATGAATAATAGCTATGAGATTTTTTCTATTGCTTAGTGCCACCCAGACTGTTCTAACTATCTACTAAACACATTTCTCAAACCTATTTATCGTTGTTCAGAGGAATAGTTCGGTCATAGGGTTATGGGAAAGGCTAAAGAGGTGAGTGTAGAAGAGGGTTTCTGCAAATAACTCTAAGTATAGATATTCTTCTAATTCTATAACGCTTTTTCTACTTCTTTTGTCTCGAGAGTTTCTTTTCTTTTCTTCTCTCTTTTTTTCTTTTCTTTTCTTTTTCTTTTTTTCTCCCTTCTTCTCGACTTTTTTTCTTTTCTTTATTTTTCTGGCTTTTATTTTCCAGAGTATCTCGACATATGTAGGTCTAATGGTCGAAAAGTCTAGGTACGGTATAGGGCTTATAGCTCATCTCGTGATGATTACCACCGCTGTAACGCCCCGATACCGCTACGGAATGTCAAAGTTGTCCTCACACACAAACACGAGACCTTTTAGCGTGTTTTGTCCTCACTCGCACACATCCCGAAAAGTACTTCCCAGGAGATCACTCATCATAAGACTACTCCAAAGC